ATATGGAGTTGTTTATTTTATCTGTTTATTATTTTCTTATCCTGTTCTCACTGTCTCTGTGATTTGTGCCTATAAAAATGCCAAGCCACTGTCCATGGGTGTGGGTTGTTTTCAGCAGCTCACCCGTGTACACGTTAAGCATAAAAAAGTAACTTTGTCTCATTGTGTCTTTATTCCTCCTGGGTTTATTTTGCAGGGTTTTCTCCTAACAGGTGAACACAGCAGCTGGTTCAGGTGGAGGCTCTGCCTCATGCAGCACTGCCATTGGCTGAAAGCATGAGCCACACGTGGCTGCCAGTTACTCACACCTTCATCCTTTAAAGCTTTCATCTTCCTCTCAAACTCGTCCTCTACAGACAAAGTAAGACAAAGTTTTGGTGCCAAAGAACCAGAGACCAGCAGCAGTTTCTCTTCTTGTTCAGACTGATGTGGAAGCATCAGTGCTGCTGCTGTCACACAAAATCTGTTTAGAGGAATTCTGATTACAGGAACTCTGACTACAGTCCATCTGCTGACTGCTTGTTACCAATAAATGCATTTCATTGTAGATATCCATCATGTTACCCTGTGAGACTAACCTGGACCATCGGGCTCACACACAAACCCCAGCAGGAGAGCATGGAGGCAGTTTACAGTTTCAGGCTTTGGGTGGTGTTGTAGCTTCTTAAACCAGAAAACAGTCACACAGACTGGCAGCTTCAGCTGGTCGGGGATGTTTTCTAAGTCTGAAGTCTGAACCTTCAGAGCTTCCTCAAACACCCTGCGACGTAAACGCTCAGGAGCCTGCACAGATAAGATACCACACAGACAAGATGTTCACATGTACCACAGAAACACGCCTACTTGTCAGAGTAATTAAACACATATTTAATGATTAACCTCAGTACCTTATGCAGACGCTGTAGTTTCAGTTGTTTCTGTTCATCACTGTTGGGAAGTATTGATGGGACATGGTCGTCTTTGATCTCTTCTCCATCCCTGCCATATTCAGTAATCTCACCTCCTGTTAACAGTCCATACACTCTAAAAAATGATTCATGGGGTTAGTAAGTAAAGCTTAAAATTAATAGCTTTTTCTGCATAAAAAATTAAGTTTGTTGCATGTACACATTGTAATCAGTTGATAACTTAATTTAATGAGTTGGTCGAAATGAAAATAAAGAAAACAGTCTTAGCTCAGTAATATATCGATTTTGAACAGACATTTCTGTGTTAACTTAACATGAAAGTGTATTCAGTTAATACAACTTAAAAATCTCGTAAGCGTCCTTTAAAAGCTGAGTACAAGGCTGACTTGCCCGGACATGTTGTGCTCTCAGACCACTGATCGAAAGAAACGGAGGCAAAGAGAGAAAGCGGAGAAGCGCCATTTTGTACGGAATGTTATCAAACGTTAAAGCTTTGTGGCGAGTACAATTTTTTGCCTTGTTTTATTCACAGCAGCTAATAACTCTAACTTTAACTCTATCAACACGCACTGCAAGAAATCCTTTTTACACAACACTAAACTCTTCCTCGGCGAGTGGTGGTGATAAGCTAGTAACGTTACACTTCTGGCTAACTTGTGAAGTAATTCGACCGTAACATTAGTCTTTGTTAAGTTTTGTTTTACGGTGGCAGCCAAATGGTGTTAATTGACACTGAGCTTCTGTAGCAGTAGTTTTAACTCTGCAAAGACAGGGTAATACACGTTTTTCTTCTTTCTACTTTGAAATCGTTGCAGCGTTGATGAAGGTTTGACCAGCAAAAGGCTGGGCCGTTTTACATTCATGACTAAACAAATGTAGGTTACTGAGTATACATTCGGTTTAACATCGATGCATTTTGATGTTTAAGTCCTAGAGTTATTTTTATGTGAGATTGAAGTTTGTTAATTGAGCCCTAGCTGAAGAACAGCCTGTGTCAAAGTTCAGTCAAAAAACGCGGGCGAGGAAGCGAACGCCATGTTGTAGAAACGCCACAGGAAAGATCTTAAGTAACATTCATAAACTAGTTGTTTTAATGACATTACATTGAGTGTGCATTAGCACATAAAATATAATTTTGCTCTTTTGGGTGTTAACTGCAGATACATAAGCGCAGTTGTATCACTTAAGAAAAAATATCTTTGATTTGGAAACATAAAGCAACTTTTAGGAGAAACTCAACACTAAAAATAATATACATACAGTGGGGCAAAAAAGTATTTAGTCAGCCACCGATTGTGCAAGTTCCCCCACTTAAAATGATGACAGAGGTCAGTAATTTGCACCAGAGGTACACTTCAACTGTGAGAGACAGAATGTGAAAAAAAAAAATCCATGAATTCACATGGTAGGATTTGTAAAGAATTTATTCGTAAATTAGGGTGGAAAATAAGTATTTGGTCACCTCAAACAAGGAAAATCTCTGGCTCTCACAGACCTGTAACGTCTTCTGTAAGAAGCTTTTCTGTCCCCCACTCGTTACCTGTATGAATGGCACCTGTTTGAACTCATCATCTGTATAAAAGACACCTGTCCACAGCCTCAAACAGTCAGACTCCAAACTCCGCCATGGCCAAGACCAAAGAGCTTTCGAAGGACACCAGGAAAAGTATTGTAGACCTGCACCAGACTGGGAAGAGTGAATCTACAATAGGCAAGCAGCTTGGTGTGAAAAAATCAACTGTGGGAGCAATCATCAGAAAATGGAAGACATACAAGACCACTGATAATCTCCCTCGATCTGGGGCTCCACGCAAGATCTCATCCCGTGGGGTCAAAATGATCATGAGAACGGTGAGCAAAGATCCCAGAACCACACGGGGGGACCTGGTGAATGACCTGCAGAGAGCTGGGACCAAAGTAACAAAGGTCACCATCAGTAACACACTACAACGGCAGGGAATCAAATCCCGCAGTGCCAGACGTGTTCCGCTGCTGAAGCCAGTGCATGTCCAGGCCCGTCTGAAGTTTGCCAGAGAGCACATGGATGATACAGCAGAGGATTGGGAGAATGTCATGTGGTCAGATGAAACCAAAGTAGAACTTTTTGGTATAAACTCAACTCGTCGTGTTTGGAGGAAGAAGAATACTGAGTTGCATCCCAAGAACACCATACCTACTGTGAAGCATGGGGGTGGAAACATCATGCTATGGGGCTGTTTTTCTGCCAAGGGGACAGGACGACTGATCCGTGTTAAGGACAGAATGAATGGGGCCATGTATCGTGAGATTTTGAGCCAAAACCTCCTTCCATCAGTGAGAACTTTGAAGATGAAACGAGGCTGGGTCTTCCAACATGACAATGATCCAAAACACACCGCCCGGGCAACAAAGGAGTGGCTCCGTAAGAAGCATTTGAAAGTCCTGGAGTGGCCTAGCCAGTCTCCAGACCTCAACCCCATAGAAAATCTGTGGCGGGAGTTGAAAGTCCGTGTTGCTCGGCGACAGCCCCAAAACATCACTGCTCTCGAGAAGATCTGCATGGAGGAATGGGCCAAAATACCAGCTACTGTGTGTGCAAACCTGGTAAAGACCTATAGTAAACGTTTGACCTCTGTTATTGCCACAATGGTTAAAATCCCCAGCCGCAATAAAGACACTGTCCGGGTGTGCTACCAGGCTGTTATTGATGCTGCTGCTCAATTGTGCTAACGCTAGCTTAGCATTAGCATCTGGTGGAATGTAAACAGCGCAGATGTAAACGGCAGAAAATTCCCGAGGGAGATAGAATGGACGGCACTTTAACACCAACAGTTCTACCTCTGTACTGCACAGTCTTTCCGTTACCGTGACGTTCGTGCACCAAAAGTTGTTAATATAGATGCACAGCCCCCCGCCAGTCTTCTTACCCGAGTCCGCAGACCTGTCGGCTCGATAGGCGGTGCGGCCTGCTAGATCAATAGCCGCATCGGGAATGGCGCTGTCCAGCCAGGTTTCAGTGAAAATCATGCACGAACAGTTATTAAAAGTCCGTCGAGTGGCGATCTGCAGTCGTATTTCATCCAGTTTGTAACGGATTGAACGGGCGTTGGAGAGGAATATGATCGGGAGTGGTGGTTTAAACGGACTAGTCTTCACAATTTCCACCGTAATGTGAAGTGTGCTACCAGAGGAGATAGAACGTTGGACCAGGTGTACACCAACATGGCGAATGCGATACAGAGCCCAGGCTTATCCCCACCTGGGTCTGTCAGACCATCTCTCCCTTCTGCTACACCCAATATACACACAAAAGATCAAGAGCACTGGGATTACAACCAAAACCGTGAGAACATGGCCGCAGGATGCTATTCCGATGCTTCAGGACTGTTTCCACTGCACAGACTGGGATGTATTCAAGGTGCAGGACACTGACAATCGTGTCGCATTGGACAGTTACACCTCCACTGTCTTGGACTACATCTGTTTCTGTGTGGACAATGTAACAACTTGGAAACGATTCCGTGTGTTCCCTAATAATCCACCCTGGATGACACACGGAGTTCAACAACTTATTCGAACAAGGAACAACGCTTTCAAATCCGGGGACCAGGAGGCATACAGTGCTGCCAGGGCCAACCTGAGAAGAGGCATCAAGACTGCCAAGCAGCAGCACAGGAGGCGTATCGAGGCCAGGTTTGAGAACAACACAAACCCAAGGCAGGTCTGGGAGGGCATCAGGGCTATCACGGACTACAAAAGAAGAACACCATCACCCTCAGCCGACAGTTCTACTCTGGCTGAGGATCTAAATCTCTTTTATGCCCGTTTTGATAGGGAGAACACCGACCCTGTCCTGTCCCCTCTCCCCTCAACCGATCCTGCTCCAGTCCTGAGCACTCATGAGCTGAGGCGTGTGTTCCGGAGCATTAACACCAGGAAGGCGGCCGGGCCAGATGGAGTGCTGGGCCGGGTGCTAAAAGACTGTGCTGCGGACCTGGCGGACGTCTTCACCTCTATATATAACACCTCGTTGTCCTGTTCACTGGTACCATCCTGTTTCAAAGCAGCAACCATCGTTCCCATCCCAAAACAGTCAAATGTCACATGTCTGAACGATTTCAGACCTGTGGCACTCACCCCCATTCCCGCCAAATGCCTGGAGAGACTGGTCATTAAACACATCAGAGCTGCTTTTCCACCATCCCTGGACTCGCACCAGTTTGCATACAGGGAGAACCGGTCAACCGAGGATGCGATCGCCACAGTGCTGCACACATTACTGAAGCACTTGGAACACAGGAACACCTATGCACGGCTCCTCTTTGTAGACTACAGCTCGGCTTTTAATACCATCCGGCCATACAAACTCCGTCCCAAACTCCACCAACTGGGACTTAACTCCTCTCTGTGCAACTGGATTGTGGACTTCCTCACTAACCGTAGACAGAGTGTCAGAGTGGGTAAGAACACCTCCTCCACCCTTGTGGTCAACACCGGTGCCCCTCAGGGGTGTGTTCTGAGCCCTCTGCTATACACTCTCTTCACCCATGACTGTATTTCCTCCTGCGCGTCCAATCTCATTGTTAAGTTTGCAGATGACACTACAGTGCTCGGACTTATATCCAACAATGATGAGACAAACTATAGGACAGAGGTGCAACAACTAGAGTCATGGTGCCACGACAATAACTTGGTCTTAAACACCAAAAAGACCAAGGAGATCATTGTAGATTTCCGGAAGAGGGGTCATAACAACCATCTGCCTCTCTTCATTGGCAGTGAGGCGGTGGAGAGGGTGAGCAGTTTTAAATTCTTGGGGGTAACTGTGACCGAGGACCTGTCCTGGGGCAACCATATCACCTCAGTTGCACGGAAGGCCCAACAGCGCCTCTACTACCTGAGGAGACTGCGGAGCGCACACATTCCCAGATCTCTGATGTTGAACTTCTACAACTGTGCCATCAGCAGCGTTCTGACGTATGGATTTCTAGTGTGGTTCCCCAGCTGCACCAAGGCCGATCAGCAAGCACTCCAGCGGGTGGTGAAAGAAGCTGGCAGAATTATTGGAACAAGTCTGCCAGAGATCAGTAATATCTTCCCCACTCGCTGTCTGAGGAGGGTGCACAGTATCCTGCGGGACCAACATCACCCTGCGCGCCACCTTTTCCATCTGCTGCCCTCAGGGAGAAGGTACAGGTCTATACAGGCCAGAACATCCAGACTGGCCAACAGCCTGTATCCACAGGCTGTGAGGCTCCTGAACTCTCTGCCCCCCTCTCACGGACAATAACCATATCCAACTTCTTAATAGCAATGAACTGGTCTGCATTGGTGCATCATATCTTTATTCTCTTCCCCCTCCTGCCCCCCCCCTCTTTCTTAAATAGATAACTATCATATCTGATATCATATCTCACAGTACAATAATATTGAATGGGTTGCATTGTTGTATTTTGTCATGTTTCTCAGGTCTTTGTCTGAATTTCTACGAACATTATTGCTAAGGATTGTCTTATTGCATTGGAGTCACACTGGGTTAAATATGTACACTTGGGTTTTAAGGGGTATTTATTATTTTCTTCTTTTTTTTGGGTTGGAACCCAACGAATTTCATTGTTCTTGACAATGACAATAAATAAATACTACTACTACAAAGGTTATGTTACAAAGTATTGAGTTGTATTTTTGTTATTGACCAAATACTTATTTTCCACCCTGATTTACGAATAAATTCTTTACAAATCCTACCATGTGGATTCATGGATTTTTTTTTCACATTCTGTCTCTCACAGTTGAAGTGTACCTCTGGTGCAAATTACTGACCTCTGTCATCATTTTAGGTGGGGGAACTTGCACAATCGGTGGCTGACTAAATACTTTTTTGCCCCACTGTATTTTAACTTTTAATGTCATAAGGATTTCCTGTGAGATAATGATTAGACTAAAGACTATAGTTAAAAAAGCGTGAATATTGATTGCGTGTAGTTTGCCCATTTCTTTGCAGTAGTTTACAAGCATTTTTCTTGTTTTTTATCTTGAATATTCAAAAACAATGAATTAAAATTTACTGTAATGCTGATGTAGCACAAGTTGTTTGTACTACAGCCTTCTGAATCACCCAAGTTAAAGTAATTTAAACTGTTTGTTTTTAAAATGAAGTGGATCTGTAAAATCTGCAAATTTGAAACACCAAGAAAGACATTCTCCATTCGCAGGCAGGAAGTTGTCAATCAAGCACCAAAAATCAATGACCTGAAAGAAAGAT